CACACACACTCACACACACTCACACACACTCACACACACACACTCACACACACACTCACACACTCACACATACACTCACACACTCACACACACAGACACTCACACACTCACCCCCACACCCACACTCACCCCCCCACACACACACTCACACACACACACTCACACACACTCACACACACTCACACACACACACACACACACACACACACACACACACACCAGACTAGACTAGGCCAAAATGATTTCTGATTACAAATATGAAGCATTCCAGATAATTGAAACAAACTGATATTTAGTGATGAATCGATTCACTGATTCTACACATTGGAGGGAAATAGACTGCGTGCTCTCCAAAAGTGCTGAAACTCACAGCACTAACTGCTGGAGATCTCAAGAGTTATGTGCGATTTTGAATATTCCATAGTGTCAGTATCTATCAGGTGGGCAAAAGAAAGAAATGTGTTTTAAATTAAGTTGTTCTTTCTGCTTTAGGAAAAAATCAATTAAATGTTCAAAGCAAGAGTAAATGATCCATGAAGCTGTTAAAGCTAGTCTCTCTTGAAGGTTAACATTGCCACTCTCAAAAGGTTACCGGTGTTCTGAAAGTTGTGCCTGAGTTTCTTTCCTGTCTTCCCCCCACTGCCCTATCCCCAAACGATCTGAAGTGAAAGAGGAAGTCATTGCATATGTTGGACTCTGGTTTCTGAGCGTCCTTAACCTTTCCTTAGTGTTGATGCTGTGCTGAAGCATGATTTGCTGTGTAAGATTCAGTGAATTCCTAACATTTTTTAAAGGTGTGCATGGGCTCATTTAGGCTAGCCAGCCACAGGATAGCACCATGAAATATTCAGCAAAAGAACACTTTTCCTCACAGCTTTGCTATGTTCATCAAATTGCTCTGCCAAGAGATCTTGTGATCATAGCTAGTCCCAAGCTGTTTCTGGGAGAAAAAAAAAAGCAAAAACCAGCCAGCTGTTTCTTCATATCCTATGCTGTTTCCTTAGACTCTCTCTCTCTCTCTCTCTCTCTCTCTCTCTCTGTCTGTCTTCGTTCATTTCTTTCCTCCCTCCCTCCTTCCTTGTTTCCTTATTTTCTATTTTCATCTAAATAAAGTAATGTTAATATTTCTCCCAACACAATAGTATATAATTTCAAAGTTTACATAATTGCCTTGCATACTTCTGACTTCCTATGGAGTAACAACTGGAGGTTGTCTGTCTTCAAGGAGGAGGAAACGTAAATGGCTTCACACACACTTCTGCCTTGCTATGAGGCCCTGGGAAGCTTTGAAAGTCCAGTGTCTTCTGTACTGGTTTCTATTAAAGACACGATGGTGGGTAGACAGTCATGCTGTCACAGGAATTCATTCCAATGGAAAATAACTAGCCATGGCTATATCAATTGTCCTTTCGGATTTTGAAACCGCTTTTCTCAGAAATGAGTTCTTATAAACTAATAAATGGGGATAGTTCATGAGAATGTTTCCTTTTATTACCAAATATTTTTGTCAGTAGTACGTTCTGATACAGAAAATGGCTCTTTTCCATTCTGGAAAGCATCCTATATGCCATTTCCCCAACAGGTAGGTATTACCTCTCTATGTCTACCTTATTTAAATACAATTTTAAAATATTTTATGCAAGGAATAATCAGATTTCACCTGTTGGACAGTTTTGGCACATGCCTTTAATCCTAGCACTCAGGAGGCAGAGGCAGGTGGATCTCTGTAGTTTGAGGCCAGCCTGGTCTCCACAGTGAGTTCCAGGACAGCCAGGGCTGTTACACAGTGTTGCCCTGTCTTGAAAAACAAAACCAAACCAGAATTCTACTCTGGAAAATTGTCCCTTATTATGTGACTAGATCTGCTTTAAACTGCTGGAAGTGCTGACGTTCTAATAACTGTCCCAATGACAGGAGGTTGCCATGGGAACAGGTGGACAAAAGAATGAAGAAGGTTCAGAGATGAGTGATGCAATCAGAATCAGTACAGCGAGTACTGGAAGGAGTGAAGTTCCCAAAAGTAGCATGCTCCCTTGGAG